ATAGCTGAAACATAGCTGCACATTTTTTCCATTTTTGGTACTGATGAAGTTTTGCCATGTTGCCCAGCCTGGTCTCAAACTTTCAAATTCAAGAATTCAAGTGATTGGCCCACTTTGGCCATCCATTCTGCTGTGTTACAGGCGGGAGCCACTGTGCCCAGCCAGTTTTTACTTTTTCTTCCTTTTTCTTCCCATTTTTTTTTTCATAGGAGTATGTCTTGCACTCCTACCCAGGCTGGAGGGCAGTAGCGTGATCATGAGTTGCTGCTGCCTCAACTTCCTAGGCTCAAGCGATCCTCCCACCTCAGCCTCTTGAATAGCTGAGACCACAAGTGCACACCACCACACCTGGCTAATTTTTTGTATTTTTGGTAGATACTGGGTTTTTCCATGTTACCCAGTCTGGTCTGGAACTCCTGAAATCTAGTGATCTGCCCTCCTATGCCTCCCAAAGTGCTGGGTTACAGGCATGAGCCACTGTGCCTGGCCCTTTTTTTCTTCTGTTTTGTTTGTTTGTTTGTTTTATTTGACATTAGGTCTCCCTCTGTTGCCCTTCCTGGAGGGCAGTGGTGTAACCATGGCTTCCTGCAGCCTAAGCCTCTTGGGTTCAAGTGATCTTCCCACATCAACCTCCTGAACAGCTTGGACCACAGGTGCACACCATCATGCTCTGCTAACTTTTTTTTTTTTTGTAGAGATGGAGTTTTGCCATGTTGCCTAATCTGATCTTAAACTCCTGAACACAACTGATCTACCCACTTCAGCCTCCCAAAGTGTTGCGTTACAGGTGTGAGCCACTGTGTCCAGTTTTTTCTTTTTCTTTTCTTTTTTTTAGATAACGTCTTGCTCTGTTACTCAAGCTGAAGTGCGTGCTGCAGACTCAACCTCCTGGACTCAAGCAATCCCCTCACCTTAGCCTCTTGAATCACTGAAACCACAGCTGCACACCACCACACCTGGTCAACAATAAACCACAGGTGCATGCCCACCACACTGGGTTACCATCAAAAGGAAAAAAGAAGAAAAAAGAGCTGGGGACAATTTGGCACTTTGGGAGACTGAGGTGGGCAGATCACCTGTGTTTAGGAGTTTGAGATTAGACTGGGCAACACGGCAAAACCCCATCTCTATCCAAAATACAAAACATAAGCCAGGTGTTGTGATGTGCACCTGCGGTCCTAGCTATTCAAGATGCTGAGGATGGAAGATCGCTTGAGCCCAGGAGGTTGAGGCTGCAGAAAGTGGTGATCACACCACTGCACAACAGCCTGGGTCACAGAGACCTACTCTCAAAACAAAAAAGAAGAAGAAGAAAAAGGAAGAAGAAGAGGAAGAACAAGAAGAAGAAGGAGGAGGAGGAGGAGGGAGAAGGAGGAGGAGGAGGAGAAGGAGAAGAAGTAAAAAACATTGCTGGGCACAGTGGCTTAGGCCTGTAGCCCAGCACTTTAAGAGGCTGAGGCAAGCAGATCATGTGAGTTCAACGGTTTCAGACAACACTGGGAAACATGGCCAATCTCCATCTCTACCAATAATACAAAACATTTGCCTGCATAACAGAGTAAAACCAAATTTTACCAAAATACAAAAGAAAAATAAAAAAAATGCTGGGCACAGTGGCTTACGCCTGTAACCCAGCCCTTTGAAAGGCTGAGGTGGGCAGATCACTTGAGTTCAGGAGCTCAAGACAAGACTGAGAAACATAGTAAACTATATCTCCACCAAAAATACAAAAAGTAGCCAGACATGGTGGTGTACACCTGTGGTCCTAGCTATTAAAGAGGCTCAGGTGGGAGGATTGCTTGAGCCCAGGAGGTTGAGTCTGCAGCAAGTGGTGATCACGCCACTGCACTCCAGCCTTGGTAACAGAGCAAGACCTAATCTCAAAAAAAAAAAAAAAAAAAAAAACAGTGCTGGGCACAGTGGCTCATGCCCATAACCCACAAATTTGTGAGGCTGAGGTGGGCAGATCACTTAAGTTCTGCAGTTGGAGGCAACACTGGGCAACATGGCCAAACCTCATCTCTACCAAAAATAGCCAGGCATGGTGGTGTGCACCTGTGGTTTAAGCTACTGAAGAGACTGAGGTGGGAGGATCGCTTAAGCTCAGGATGTTGAGGCAGCAGCAATTCGTGACCACACCACTGCTTAAGTAACAGAGCAAGATATCTCTCTCTCTCTCTGCGCGCACACACACACACACACACACACACACACACACACACAGAAAGAGAGAGAGAGAGAGAGAGATGAAAGAAGATCAAATGCTGAGCACAGTTGCTCAGGCCTATTACCCAGCAGTTTGGGAGGCCAAGGTGAGCAGACAGATGACTTGAGTTCAGGAGTTCGAGACCTAACTGAGCGATATGGCAAAACACCATCTCTACCAAAAATACAAAAAATTTGCCACGTGTGGCGGTGTACACTTGTGGTTCAAGGTATTCAAGAAACTGAGGTGGGAGGATGATGAGCTCAGGAGGTTGAGGCTACAGCAAGTTGTGATCATGTGCATCGCTCCAGCCTACATAAACAGTGAAACCTAATCTAAAAAAAGAAAGAAGAAAGATGACAAAAGGGCTGTGCACAGAGGTTCATGCCTGTAACCCAGCACTTTGGGAGGTTGAAGTGAGCAGATGACTTGACTTCAGGAGTTTGGGACAAGACTGGGCAATGTGGCGAAACTCCATCTCTACCAAAAATAGAAAACCTTAGCCTACCATGGTGGAGTGTACCTGTGGTCTCAGCTATTCAAGAGGCTGAGGTGGGAGAATCACTTGAGCCCAGGAGGTTGAGGCTGCAGCAAGCCCTTATCCCACTACTGCACTCCAGCCTGGGTAAAAGAATGAGATCCAATTTAAAAAGAAGAAAAAAATACGCATTCATCTTCTCTACTAGGCAATTGAGAGCAGTCTCTGTAGCTTCTCCAACTTTTCATACACAGCATTTGCCTTTATTGGTTAAAGGCACAGAAAGTAGAAAAAATGGAGAAGTACACACATAAATTTCTCTTTAATATTTTTTTCCATAGAAAGACAGTCTGTCCTCTATTACATCATTATTCTATGGCCATTTTTAATTCTCCTCTGGAACAGATGACCCACATAATGAAAAACATACTCAAAGTACAGGTATGCATGTGATCTTATTCTAATAAGTAGGTGTTTCATTTCCCTTAAATATAAGACACCAATCACAATATTTAGAAACATAAGAAGCCACTGATCACACTATTAATTCAAAGAGAGACTTCACATAAAAATGTAATTCCATGTCTTTAGAGCAGGGTGTGGTCACCTCTATCGATTTTTCCCCAATTCTTTAATAATGAAAAGACAATTTTGGGGACAACAGACTGGAAAAAATTCCAAAGAATCTGAGTGACCATTCCTCAAAATCTGATGCCATAGCCAATATGAGACAAAAACAAAAAACAGAATGCATCTCTGATGTCAGAAATCAATCAGTAAGAAGACCGGAAATACTTAGTCAATTTAATTCTTCCACCACTAGTATCAGTGAGTAACACACAAATCCCACTTGAAAGTTTGGACCCCATAAGATGCAAAAAGATGACTGGATTATAACCTGTGTTTCATCTTTCAAAGTTTTTGTTTTAAAAAAAATTTACTACTTTAGTAATAAGTGTCAATTTGAGAGCCACATTCAGAAAGCCATCAACTTTGTAGACATGCTGCAAATCGATACAAATCTAAACTGCTACACCAGAGCCTTTAAATGAGGAGGAGAGTTACTCACACTTCTCCAATAGGTGCATATGTTGATCCAGTTATGGTAAACTCATTAAGGGAACAAGTATCACCTTCCACTCTATCCAGAATGAACATCTGTAGGGGGAGAGGACATCACAGTATTTAAAGGGGATTTTTAAAAACACAAATATACTACCGTTGTTAGCTCAAGACAAAGGCAAACAACCTTTTTCATTTATGACAACTAATAAAACTCACTGAGGCTCAGCATCAGTACTATGAAAGTTTTAGTAAAGCTTTCATAAATGAAAAAGGTTGTTCGCCTTTGTCTTGAGCTAACAAACGTAGTATATTTGTGTTTTTAAAAATTCACTTTAAATACTGTGATGTTCTCTCCCCCATAGATGTTCATTCTGGATAGAGTGGAAGGTGATACTTGTTCCCTTAATGACAAAACAGAAAACAAAAACAAACCCAAAAACCAAAACCAAAACCAAAAATCCATGGCCAGGCAGAGTGGCTCATGCCTATAATACCAGCACTTTAGGAGGCCAAGGCAGACAGATCACTTGAGGTCAGGAGTTCAATACCAGCCTGGCCAACACGGTAAAATCCTGTCTGTACTTAAACAACAACAAAAAAAAAAAAAAAAAAAAAAAAAAAAACAAGTGAATTACGGCTATTATAGCCTGAATCACTTTCATAATGTCAGGAGATAATACAGAAAGCTTAAAAACAATGATGTTCATTTCTTAGAAGATTGTGTATAACTTTACTACTTTTGGTTTCCATCCATCCAGATAAATATTTTCCTGACATTAAGATAATGTAAAATTACTGTGGCTTCATAAGCTGTGAACATGTGGGTCATTTTCCTTTTGAGACAGGGTTTCCCTCTGTTGCCCGTGATAGAATGGTGCATAATTTCGTCTCACTGTAGCCTCAACCTCCTGGGCTCAGGTGATCCTCCCACCTCAGCTTTCTGAGTAGTTGGGACTACACAGGTGTATGTCACCATGCCAAGTTAAGCTTTGTATTTTTTGTTAGGATGGGGATTTACCATGTTATCCAGGTTGGTTTTGAACTCCTGGACTCAGGCAATCTGCATGCCTTAGCCTCCTCCAAAGTGCCGGGATTACAGATGTGAGCCACTGAGCCCAACCTAAGTGTGGGTTATTTTCTCCATGTTTTATTTGCCATATCAATTTCATTTGGCTCTTGTGTTCTAGATACTTAAGATTGACATAAGCATTTGCTAAGTATTCTTACCCAATTTCTCTTTGGAATGATTAGCTGGTATAGCAACATCTAAACTGTAGTTTCCTGGCTGGGTGTGGTGGCTTACGCCTGTAATCTCAGCACTTTGGTAGGTCAAGGTAGGTGGATCACGAAGTCAGAAGTTCGAGACCAGCCTGGCCAACACAGTGATAGCTCGTCTCTACTAAAAATACAAAAATTAGCCAGGCATGATGGTGCGTGCCTGTAATCCCACTACTCAGGAGGCTGAGGCAGGAGAGTCACTTGAACCCAGGAGGCAGAGGTTTCAGTGAGTCCAGATTACACCACTGCACTCCAGCCTGGGTGAGAACAAAACTCCATCTCAAAAAAAAAAAATTAGTTTCCCTAACTCTCCATATTTCCCTGAAAAAACCATGTATTCCAGTTTGTCTTCAGAAAGTTCACCCAGAACCATCCTTCACCCAGATATCTTCCAAAAGCTGACAAAGAATTTTATAGTCAGGAGATGACTCTTACATTCCAAACAGTGACTACAAAAAGGTCTGTTTCTTTCTGCAAATATCAAAATAGCTAAGTCAGTACCTGTTTTTGTTTTCAGCTTCAAAATAGTTTATAACGTTCTCCAGTTTTCCAATACATATGAAAGACCTCTTCACATCCAACTTCATAACGTAAATGAAAGTATAAAAGTCACCGTGTCTAAAAAGCACACTTCATGCCATTTATCCTTTCAGGCTATGTAGATAAAACTTCAAATGACAAGAAAAAATTCAGAATTGAAGTTCACTCTATAATTTTCAGAGAACTGAATTAGTGGGCTAAATGCTAAATTGCATGGTCAATTTGATTACTAACCCAACATATATAGTCTTAATAAAATAAGACTATTTATCATGGTATGCTTTTCCAAAATGTTCCATATAGTAATTGTAAATGCCTTAGAATTACATCTTACCCAATTCAATGACCTGCTGGTCCTAGTAATCCAGCCAACTATCATTTCTAATTAGGATATAAGTTTGCCATGAAAGATCAACAGAGCATACTGACAACCTAATATTAAAATTATAACTAGGCTTCCTCCACATGATAAGGGGCACCCACCTGTGAGACCCACACCTATGTTATACTTCAGAGTCAAGGACTGGATGCTTTCCCTCTAAGATCAGTAAGACAAGGATGTCTGTTCTTGGTACTTCAACATTGTATTGGAGATTCTAACCAGGGCAATTAGGCAAGAAATAAAGGGCATCCAGAGTGGAAAGAAGTAAAAACATTTTCATTTGCAAATGCATGATCTTGTATACAGAAAATCTTAAGGAACCCCTAAGAAACTATTAAAACTACTGTAATGAGTTCACAAGATTGCAAAGTGCAAGATCAATACACAAAAACTAGTTGTTATTTCTACATGCTAGCAAAGAACAATCTGAAAATGAAATTGAAAAAAGAATTCCTAACTCAAGGCAGATTAAAGCCTTAAATGTAAGACATCAAACTGTAAATATATTCTAGAAGAAACCTAGGAAATACTCTTCTTAACACTGACATAGGCAAAGAATTTATGACTAATCCTCAAAAACAAATGCAACAAAAAACTTGTCAACTGGGCCCTAGTTAAACAAAAGAGTTTCTGCATAGCAGAAGAAACCTACCAACAGAGTAAACTTACAACTTACAGAATGGGAGAAAATATTTGCAAACTATGCACTCAACAAGGGACTAATATCCAGAATCTATAAGGAACTTAAATCCACACAAGAGAAAACACCAAATATCACTGTTGAAAAGTGGGAAAAGGGTGTGAACAGACACTTCTCAAGAGACAACAATCAAGTGGTCAACAAACATATGAAAAACACTCAGTATCACTAGTTAGAGAGATGCAAATCAAAACCACAATGAGATGCCATCTCATCCCAGTCAGAGTGACTATTAGTGCTGGGCACGGTGGTTTATGCTTGTAATCTCAGCATTTTGGGAAGCTAAGATGGGAGAATCACTTGAACACAGGAATTCAAGACTAGCTCAGGCAACATAGTGAGACCTCATCTCTATGAAAAAAATTGAGAGATTAGCCTGTTATACTGGTGTGTGCCTACAGTCCCAGCTACCTGGAAGGCTCAGGTGGGAGGATCACTAGAGCCTGGAAAGCCACGGGTGTAATGAGCCATAATCATGCCACTGCATTCCAGCCTGGGGAACAGACTAAGACCCTGCATCAAAAAATGGGAACACTTACACACTGCTGGTAAGAATTTAAGCTAGTTCAGCCCCTGTGGAAAGCAGTTTGGAGATTTCTCAAGAAACTAAAAACAGAATTACCATTCAACCCAGCAATCCCATTACTTGGTATATATCCAAAGAAAAAGAAACTGTGGCTGGGCATGGTGTCTCACACCTCTAATCTCAGCACTTTGGGAGGCCAAGGCCAAGGATGGTGGATCACTTGAGCCCAGGAATTTGAGACCAGCCTGGGCAACATGGTGATACCTTGTCTCTACAAAAAACACCAAAATTAGTTAGGTGTGGTGGGTACCTGTAGTTCTAGCTACAAGGAGGCTGAGGTGAGAGGATGACTTAAGCTTGGGAGGCAGACGTTGCAGTGAGCTGAGATCGCACCGCTTCACTCCAGCCTGGGTGATGGAGTGAGAACTTATCTCAAAAACAACTGTGGTATATATACACCATGAAATACTACACAACCATGCAAAATAATGAAATCATGTCTTTAGAGCGAAGTGGATGCAGCCAGAGGCCATTAACCTAAGCGAATTAACATAGAAACAGAAAACCAAACACTATATGTTCTTATTTATAAGTGGGATCTAAACACTGCACAGCCATAAAGATGGGAACAGTACACACCGGGCACTCCAAAAAGTGGCAGAGAAAGAGGGACAAGCAGCAAAAAACTGTCAAGTACTATATTCATTGTCTGGATGACAGGATCAGTAGAAGCCCAAACTTCAGCATCACACAGTATATCCATGTAGCAAACCTGCACCACACGTACCTTGAATCTAATTTTTTTTTGAAGATGGAGTCTCACTCTGTTGCCCAGTCTGGAGTGCAGTGGTGCAATCTCAGCTCACTGCAACCTCTGCCTCCTGGGATCAAGTCCTGCCTCAGCCTCCTGAGTAGCTGGGATTACAGGTGCATGCCACCATGCCCAGCTAATTTTTGTATTTTTAGTAGAGTCAGGGTTTCACCAAGTTGGTCAGGCTGGTCTCGAACTCCTGATCTTGTGATCTGCCCACCTTGGCCTCCTAAAGCACTGGGATTACTGGCATGAGCCACCACCCTCAGCCAAATCTAAAAATTTTAATTAAAAATAAATATCATCAATAGGCCAATTTCAAAGTACAAAAAATTATTTCAATTACAAATATCAGCCAGGTGCGGTAACTCCATCTCAAAAAAAAAGTACAAATATTTTCACCCAAAATACCAATGTAATACTTAAGAAGCAAGAGACCTGTACCCTGACAACTACTGTTGAAAGAAATGACAGACCTTAAAAAAAAAAAAAAAGATATCCTATGCTCGTGGATCCAAAGAGTTAATATGATTCCCCAAACTCATCTATAGATATGACACAATTCTTACTGAAAATACCAGCATGCTTTTTTTTCAGAAATTGACAAACAAATCTTAAAAATTTACATGTAAATGTAAGGAACCCAGAATACCCAAAATTATCTTGAAAGAACAAAGTTACACTCCCAAGTTTCCAATTTCCAAACTTAATACAAAACTACAGCTAGCTATCAAGACAGTTTGGTACTGACCTAAGGACAGAGATCAATGGAGTTAAAAATAAATAAGAGTCTAGAAATACATCCTTGCATTTGTAAATTATTTTTTCACAAGGGTTGCAGGACAAATCAATGAGGTCAGGCTTCAAGATCAACTGGCCTATCATGGTCTGAAGTTTGAGGGGATCTCTCATTTCTCACAGTTCTTAATTTCTTAGCTATTCTGACAGTGCTCAGGGGCTCTAGGTCTCAAAAACTTTCTGCTTCTCATCCATCAATGCTGATTTTTGTTTTAGACTATTTTGCTCTTTCTGCTTATCCACTTTCTAGACTAATAATCTGTATCTTGGCTTTGAAAACAGAAATATGCCTTCCAGGATTTACAGAGCAACAATAGTTTTTTATTTTGAAACAGAGTCTCACTCTGTCACTCAGACTGGAGTGCAGTTGTGCAATCTTGGCTCACTGCAGGCACCAACTCCTGGGTTCAAGCGATTCTTGTGCTTCAGCCACCTGAGTAGCTGGGATTACAGGCACCTGCCACCACACTAGGCTAATTTTTGTATTTTTAGTGAAGATGAGATTTCACCATGTTGGCCAGGCTGATCTTGAATTCCTGGGCTCAAATGACATGCCCATCTCAGCCTCTCAAACTGCTAGGATTACAGGCATGAGCCACCAAACTCAGCCTGAACTTCAGTTTTTAAAACCAAATAGCTAGAATCCTGAGGTGGACATTCTGAGGATGATGGCAGATGAACCTCTTGAACTTGCACACAAGATTTTCAATATGTGTTTTTGGGAAAGAAAGTCCATACATTTCATTAGTTCTCAAAGGGACTGTGATGTAGAAATGACTAAGATCTGCTCTAGGGGCTTGCTACTCAAAGCATCATTGACCTGGGCGCTTGCTAGAAACGCAGAATAATCAGGCCCCATTTCAGATGGAACCAATCAAAACATGCATTTTAACAAAATCCCCAGGTAATTTCTATGCACATAAAGTTAGAGAAACATTGTTCTAAGCAATGTGCCAAATCTTAAGTCTTCCCACTCCCCACCTTTTTTTTTGGAGACAGGGTTTTACTCTGTCACCCACGCTGGAGCAGTGGCATAGTCACAGCTCACTGCAGCCTCAATCTCCTGGACTCAAGCCATCATGCCCCACCTCAGCCTCCTGAGTAGCTAGGACTACAGGTACACACTACCACACCTTGCTAACTTGTTTTTTTTTTTTTTTTTTTTTTTGAGACAGGGGCTCATTCTTTAACCCGGGCTGGAGTGCAGTAGTGCAATCTTGGCTCACTGCAGCCTTGACCTACCAGGCTTAAGTGATCCTCCCACCTCAGCCTCCTGAGAAGCAGGGACTACAGGAGCATGCCACCATGCCCAGCAAATTTTCATTTTTTGTAGAGACAAGGTCTCGTCATGTTGCCTAGGCTGATCTCAAACTCCTGAGTTCAAGTGAACCTCCTGCTTCAGCCTCCCAAAGTGCTGGCATGAGCCACAGTTCCTGGCATTACTGTGGTAGTTTTAAAAACTTGCTGGTAGAGACAACATCTTACTATGTTGCCCAGGCTGGACTCAAACCCCTGGGCTCAAGTAATCCTCCTGCTGCAGCCTCCAAAAGTGCTAGGATTGCAGGGATAAGCCACTTTTTAAAAAAAATTTTTATAGTTTACAAAAGACTTTGCTACAGAATTGTTGTGGCCCAAAAAGCTCAAAATATCAGCTTGACCCTGTAACTCACACTTGTAATCCCAGCTTTTTTTTAAATGGAATCTCACTCTGTCATCCAGGATGGAGTACAGTGGCACGATCTCAGCTCACTGCAACCTCCACCCCCATCCCGGGTTCAAGCAATTCTCCTGTCTCAGGTTCCCGAGTAGCTGGGATTATTTTTAGTAGAGACAGGGCTTCACCACCTTGGCCAGGCTGATCTTGAACTCCTGACCTTGTGATCTACCCGCCTTGGGCTTCCAAAGTGTTGGGATTACAGGCATAAGCCACTGTGCCCAGCCAATCCCAGCATTTCTGAGAGGCTAAGACAGGAGGATCACCTGAGGCCAGAAGTTCAAGACCAGCCTGAGTGACACAGTGAGACCTCATCGCTGCAAATGAACAACACAGCAAATCCACAAAAACAGTATGCCAACTCCTCAGCTCTACAGCACAGAAGTGACTACTCTGTTTTCTGGTAAAGAGCATTTAATGTTTGCTAAATGTTTAAAGCCGGTTGGTTCCAATCCCAACAGTTTTCTAAAAGCAAAAAAAAAAAGTCCACATGGACTCATAGCCATTCTATCTAAATCACACTTTTTAGAGCCAGAAAGCTCCTTAAAACAGTACTGCAATTACCTAAT